TAAGACAAAAATACTGGAATTATTAATATTAATAATTGATTAATATTTTAAAAAATACAGGTAGTCTTCAGTTAGTGACCACAACTGGCACCAGCAACTCCACCATTAAACACCATGGTCACTAAGGAAAACATCACATGACTGTGACAGGCTTACGACTTCACTTCCCCTTCAGTTGTTAAGTGAAACATCATGATTTTTGCAACTTATGATTTTACTTCTGCCTTCTCTATTAACTCTGCTTGCTGCAAGTCAGTTGCAAAGCACACAAATGGTGATCATGTGACCGTGATGGTCATAAATGTGACGATTGGTCACAAAGCTGTTTTTTTTTTCATTTTTCTTTTTTTATTCCATCATAACTTCTATCAGTCATTAAAACAAGGCCGTTAGTTGTAAGTAACATAAACAATTTATCCAACTCAAATGAAGCCATGTACAATAGTAAAAAAGCAACAAAGCATAAGAATCTGAATGAATCAGTGCTATAATTTATTCAGGTAGAAGCAATAAGAGATCTATATTGGCAAAAGCTTAGCAGGCATTAGCAATGTTTGTTGGTAAGAATGAACTTGTCCAGTCAAGCATGTTGTGGTACTATAATACTGATTTTCACTTCTGAAGAAGAGGTGTTTCCTCCTGAATTTAGGACCTGGAGTCCCAAACTTTAATATCAGTTAGTCTCAGACTCCATAATGTTTGTATTCCCATCTATAAATTCCAGCTACCAAATATAGAGCATTTCCTTTCATTATATATAATCTCTTCATCTTCCTTAAGCATATCATGAGCTTATTTGGAGAATGCCAGTTTGGGAAATGGTAGAAGGTCCACTAACCATTATGGATCCAATATCTTTTCAAGATTTCCATTCACCAGAAAGTGGGAGTTTGGTTTTTTTTGTCCACATTTTTTTCACTGCTATTTTAACTTCCTGATTTCTCAGTGTATATATAAGTGGGTTTAAAACTGGGGTAATTGCGCTATATATGAGGGTTACTATCATGTCCTGTTGTGATGAGGTACCCACAGTGGGAAGCATGTAATTAAACAACACAGGAACATAAAGTAAAGCCACCACAGTTAGGTGGGATCCACAGGTAGAGAAGGCTTTTTGCCAACTACTCCAGGACTTAACCTTTAAAAGAAGGAAAGTAATAATGTAGAGGTAGGAGAGGAGTATGAAGATAAAAGGGCCCATAACAATACAACTGGTCACAATACTGAGGAGCATGAGATTGATATATGTGCTGCCACAGGCCAGTTTCAACAAAGGCTTGATGTCACAGAAAAAGTGCTCAACATGATTTGGTCCACAGAAGGGAAGGTGAGCAGTCACCACTGCATGCATCAAGGCATGGAAAAAGCCAGTGGACCAGGCAGCTGCTGCCATTAAGACACAGATCTCTTTTCTCATGAGGAGAGTGTAACGCAAAGGGTTGCATATGGCAACATAGCGATCGTAGGCCATGATTCCAAGGAGAATGACTTCACTGCTTCCCAAGAAGTGGAAAAAGTGCAGCTGGACCAAGCAGCCCTTGACAGATATTGTGTGTACCTCTGAAAAAAATCCAGCCAGCATCTTGGGTACAGTGACTGTGGAGAAGAAGATGTCAAGGCAGGAAAGATTTCCAAGGAAAAAATACATGGGAGTGTGAAGGTGTGGTTCAGCTAAAAGTACAACAATAATAGCACCATTCCACACTAAGGTAGCCAGATACAACAGCAGGAAGACTGTAAATAGCAAATTCTGAAAATTGAAGGGACTAGTCAACCCCATTAAAATAAATTTGTTCACTTCTGTTTGGTTCTCCATCACTAAAAGAGAAAGAAAAATGGCAAAAAATGAAATGTTAACTACAGATAAATATCTATGCAGAACTAAATCTCATCTCTTTTAACTCAGTCCCAAGGCTGAACATAACGGGAATAGAATAATGGGATACAGGTATCTAGATAAATAAGTACACAATTTTATTGATGCTGCCACAGTGACAGATCTACAGTGGTAACAAGCATGGAGTCATCCTATAAATATGTTTTAAATAGTATGCATCTGCCCCTATCACTTTGTAGAAGTAATGGAATGTTTGGGGTCACTTTGGAAGGAGAAAGATGGTCCCCTCAATTCAGCAGTTTTAATCTACACAAATTATTCCTGTGTTAATACCCCTAGTTTACGTCCCCTTTTCTAGATCACAGTGTTCTAGGTTTCCATATTCTGGAATTATCTATCAAGCTGGAAATGCGTTCAGTGCTCACTAACGACTCTTTGTTGTTCTGTCCAATTCTCCATTTCTGACCCAAGAAAGGGAAATGCAGGATGCTACTGTCATGATAAAAATAAAGCTATGAGAACCATAACCAGCAGACACTGAAACAACAGGCTATCTTCTTAAAAGAAACAAAGAAAAACAGGGAAATATTGAGAATGTTTTTATACAACATGATAGGCTGTACATAAAATACAAGATGCATGAGATTTTGAACCTGTCCTGCAGGATTATGACATAGATGTTGTTGGCACTTTATTGAAGCTGCCAGCTGTTACCCCCATTCTGAGCTTCTTCCAGAGTACTCCTGAGTATTTTTAAAGATCCCTTCTCTTTGCTACTCAATATCTACCACCCCTCCTTCTCCTACAAGAATGGTTTCCTATTAGAATCAAAACTAACAGCCCCTCTCAGTTCCTTACCAACAAAGGAGGTATAAGCCAATGTTGTCCAAACTTGGCCACTTTAAGATGAGTGGACTTCAACTCCCAGAATTCCCCAGCCAACCATGAGTTGAAGCTATGAGTTGAAGTCCACTCATCTTAAAGTGGCCAAGTTTGGACAACATTTGCTTATACCTCCTTTTTTGGTAAGTAACTGAGAGGGGCTGTTAGTTCTGATTCTAATAGGAAACCATTCTTGTAGGAGAAGGAGGGGTGGTAGATATTGAGTAGCAAAGAGAAGGGATCTTTAAAAATACTCAGGAGTACTCTGGAAGAAGCTCAGAATGGGGGTAACA